TTTAACAAGCAGTGTACCAATTAATGACGTCATAAAACCCTTGATAAAACCTATAGTATAAATGTCTTTGCGACTTCTTATATGTAGGACCTAACTACAGTTATCATAGAGCTTCGCTGATCTGTACAGGCAAGATCATGTTCTGCAAGAAAAAAAACAACATTAGATTACGCTCAGCTGTATTATTCAGTCAAACTACTTAGTCATTCAACCGCTGTATAATTTTCTAAGAACTAATGAACCGAGATTAATATAATCACTCATGCCATGATCAATATTATTATCGTAAATCGTTATCATCAAATTCATTAAATATATAGCCGTTAGAAAAATTGATGATAACAAAGATGATGTCGGTCTCTATTTATATCTCTTATTTTAAATTTAGCACAACAAGGTTAAATATCCCCACTTGGAGAAGGTGATAAAGCCTGGCCGAGGTGTACAACTCGGATCGGTGACGAGGAACAACTCCTAGCCTAAGTAAGGGCTTCTTCTTGTAACAACAACAACAACATAAGCTTTATTTGCATGACTATAATTATGTAGTTACAGTATATTGCAAAAGCTTTAACATAAAGTTACAATTTATAACAATGATAATGTAATGCAATGATTACTACAGTCAATCAAGTGTTATCAGCATGATTTGATAACAAATTAGCGCGTAAAATCATTATATAATGAGACCAATCTCAACAAATGTGAATTTACGGAAAAATTCTGTGAATTCATAAATTTAATTATTAATTCTGTGTAAGATAGCTGATTAAAGTCGTAAAAATTTTGTTGGATTTGATTGTAGAATTTCTCCCTTGGGATTGAATATTTTGGACAATGGAAGAGAAAATGAAATTCGTCTTCAATTATACCAGAGTTACAAATAGGGCAGAATCTATCGTTGCGGGAATTTTGATTATATCTTCCAGTTTCTATCATGAGTTTGTGGTTCCTTATACGAATGTTCACTAAGTCTTTCCTATTGGTTGAATTTCTAATTAAGTCTAGATAACTTGAAATTTTATAATAATAATTAAATAAGCTGTAAAATTAAGTTATATAACAATTATGCGGCCCGATAGGTATGATGGGTGGTCCTCTTTCGGTTCCAAATTGGATATGGATCTTATCTTCTTGGGTGTGAAATAGGATAAGTATTTGTCTTTTTTGGAAGCAGGGGCTGGAATTTAGGGTATTTTTTGGTCTGAAATAGTAGGGTGGGGGAAGTCACATTTTTTATTTTTTATTTTTGTCAAGTAAGTTGACGATTCCAGGAAGCACACCTCGCGTCCCCACCCGAATTTTTCACGAATATCCCCTTCACCGGATTTCCACGAGTCTGGAGCGCTGACTACACGCTGCTTTCCATATGATTGTTTTCCCACCTTTGTTTAGCGATCATGGATTGATGTATCACTTGCATGGTCCTTCATTGCAAGCCATGGACTCCTGTCGTGCTCCAACACAGTCCTTTCCCTTCCACTGGCGAGGGGGATTAGTACAGGTTCTTGTTCGTACTTTGACGCCACTGCCACCACAAGTCACACTGCAGGAGGAGAACGGGGTCCATTTGGAGAAGCCGCCATCAACAGCTGTGAAAAAAGATCGTGATCAAAAGTGTGTCACTAAGAATCATGATCCTATTAAACCTGGACGACCGTACACAGGGGCGAACGAAGGATTTTGTGATAGAGGGAGCCTAGAGATATAGTATACATTGGCAATATAGACGTGATAGCACCCGTCAGGACTGCGAACGGCGCACACTTCTAGGGAGTTTCGGGCGAAAGCTCCTCCGGGAAAATGTTTTGAGATTGAAGTTCTCTTCGATGCAATCAAGAGAGAACAATCTTTCTCTCTTGGTTCTCTCTTGATGCAATCTAGTGTATTCTGGAGGCTTAAATTTAGCAAATGCCTGGATTCCATATGGAACATGTTAATGCTGAAATATTTAATAAACCACAGGCGTGGTTGTGATAAAAGAAGTACAAGACTTTATGATGCTAGCAGAAGCCAAAGCGATTGCGGCGAGAGCACATCCTCCCGGCAAGGCAGCGACATAATCTCCCTGAAAAATTGTCAAATCCAGTTTGTTTGAGACGGATATTTACTGCATGCATTCTGGGAGCTTTGGTCATTTGCAGCTAAAAATGTAGGCTTCGAACACAGATTCTTTTCTTATTAACAATGTTAATTAAAGAAAATATATTTAAGTAACAAAGCTCGAAGTACCATCCAACACACGTTTACAAAGAGGAAATTTCCGGACAAAAGGGGGGGGGGCGCCGGCGGGGGCCCCCTAGGCCCACCCCTAAATCCACCTTAAGTACAGAGTAACGTTTCTGACTTCACAGTCGTTTTGAGATTTTATCATGTCTACCGATTTCAATTTAATCTATTTCAAGCAAGTTTTTTAAATTCTAAGTTTAATTATCTCGACAAATATTTACCGGCAATACCTCTGTTAGCTCTCTTGTAGCTGGTTCATATTTCGCCTTTTTCTCTAAATAATATATTAAGGGCACGTTTCCATTACAGACTGTTCTCTTAGTCCCACTGCAGGGACACCTCCCAAATGTGGACACTTGGCCCAATGAAATACAGTCAAACCCCGCTTTACTAATACGGACACCTCATTATTTAGGACCGTTTGCTTTGTCCCTGGTGAAAGAAGGCCCTTACAGACACCCACTTAATACGGACATTTTTTAAGGCCCCCTCAGTCATGTCCGTATTAAGGGGGTTTGACTGTAGTTCCCTTTTCTCACGTATTGTTATACCATTGCAGTAGCAGACCTCAGGAAACAAACCATGATAACATTAGAGAGTGAAGGGGAGAATAATGGGGACTAACTTATTAGACGACAAATTAATAGTAAAGAGAATAGTTGTGAAAAGGACACTTCTACGTATAGCCATTTTTCTTAGTATGGTACTTTAGCCCGCCCTCGGTTAAATTGACAAATTATTTATTATCACTTACGCTGGCAGATGACTTTCGTTAAGTCATCAAACAAGTCATTTAGTTCTGTATAATTTGACACATGGTAGGCGTGGTCATTAACGACGTCCCTTAATCCCCTCTGATGTTTCGACTTTGGACCCGATGCGGTTACTACCAACTGTGTACCTTTTCCCTAAAATGCAAAAATATTTATCTTAAAAGAAAAAAATTCTAAAGGACAGAACATTTTACATGCAGTCGAATAATGTACTTATTAAATAATAACTTACGGATTGCACTATAACGCGTGAAAAGTTTTTTAAAAACGTGGAATTTGAAACTCAAAGGGGGAGCTGAAGATAAATTCCCGTTTTTCCTACGTCTGCCGGAAAAAATATAAGTATTTGATCTAAAAAACAACGACGAAAAGGTATTCTGTACGCTGGGAAATTTAAACACTACTATTTGATGGTTTGTTCCATTAGATCCCATAAATGTTCAACATTTTCCTTAGCGATAAAATATGTTCATCTTAATGAAAAAGAATCGTGAACTTCTTCTTTTTGAGGAAGCCGGCACTTTCCATATCACGGATTTCCCAGATACGATCGTAACGATCGCTGAGTAGGCACGTCACTATGGTCGCATCTTTGCTGACGTCATTGTTTACAATTTTGCTCATTAGCATACGAAGGCCGAAGGCCTCGCTGGATAACACCCTCCTCGATCTGCTTAATTATTCATATCCTACGAGAACCGAATTCATTAATTGCTTTATTATTCATTTAAAGTAATTCCTTGTTTAAAAACATAGCAAAAACATGCTTACCTGCATCGATGTTAAGTTCATCTTCGATAGTGTACGTTTAGGTTTGTCCAGCTCCGCAAATATTCTCCAAATAGCAGATGTCGCTCTCCGAGTTGTCTTCTTGCAGTTTTTGCTATGTTTTAGCTATTATTTCACCTAGATCCAGGAGCAGTTCTTACTCTTGAAACGAGTGAAGTGCCCGCCATTTTTGTTTTCACAACCAAAACAACTCAACCTCGTCCCCAGGTCTTCTCGGTAACGATGCCTTGACCTGTAGCGGGCTGCATTTTCGACGTCATTTTACGTTAAATACAAAATTCTTCCAAATTTGGTCATCAGTAACTGGTTATGGTGAATTATGCGTGTGCCGTTAGCCAATCAGAATTGGGGAAATATTTTGAATGAATAATAAACACAAATTAAACTCCAAAGTTGAAAGAGTTGGTTAATTTGAGCAATTTTTCGCGAAATTGCTTGTTGGCAAAAACGCGAATGAGCCATACATTCTTTATAAAGTTTCGATTTTCTTTAAAGATAATTTCTCCGAAACTACTCGGTCACCGGGCTCAAATTTTCACATAACTGAAATTGTTACTCTCCTTTGATATTCAGAGAGTTTATTTTAATAGCTTCAGTAGGGAATGAAACGGATATACGGCCAATGAGGAAAAAAAATTTAAATTCACCTATTGAGGTACAGTTCGCTAAAAAAATATGCTATGTGATCATGATTTGAAAACAGCAAGCCGGAAAGGTAGAACAACATCTATTGTACCTTCACAGGTGATGAAATAGATTCAGTCATGTCTACCAACAAACCAAGGTCCGGTTTGCAACGGAACTTGTCATCTAAAGAAAGAAATAAATGAGTAGATTAAGAAACAAACATTAATTTAATTATGAGCAAATATTTCAGCGATGTCCAGGAGGAGGACCCCCTTGTAAAATAGTCCTGTATCGGGAAATTAGAATTAGACCAGGAGCTCATGGGCTCCTGAATTAATTCCTAATGGAAGGCTAATCTGGACTTGTGGCTTAGGCCTTACTTAAGCTTAACTCCTAAAGAGAATACGAGATTTCCTTTATGACCACCGTAGGTGAGATCAAAAAGAGAGATGACGATATCCCCGTCCCCATCCTATGGTATCCCCCCCCCCCCCTCCCCGGGGCGATAACTTGGTCGCTAACCGACCCAAGATTGAGTTCTCTCTCTCCATTCCATCTTCTACAAATAGAAGGAACAATAAACTACTTTTTACCTCTTACTCCAAGAACAAATCGCTGGCAGTTGTTTTTGACATCATTGGAGCAGTTAGAGGGGAGGCAGCAATAGTAAGATCCACTGTCAGAATACTGCAAGTCGTTCACTGTCAATACATATGGCGCGTAAATCCCATCGCGATGTATGCGGTATTTTGCATCTGAGCCACCTGCCGAGAATTTTTAAACGAGGTTTACATTTGCTTTCAAGACTGTCTAAAAACTTATTTAAACGAATAAACCCTTCCTGGACAAAGCTAACGCCTTCATCAAGTACACCAGGGGGAATACAGTACAAATTTTCATTACGCCAGCCTCGATACTAGCTGACATTACAAATCATCACATCCTATCCTTGCTCTTGTATACTTGCCCAGATAATGACAAACAACACTATCTTGTAAGCCGGTGGAGAGTCCAAAAGACGTTTTAGCGATGATATAAACAGCTGGCCCAACACTTACTTATGCAAGAGCGTATATTGTCTTCACCACTCTTCTGAAACTTCCATTCAACGTTTAATGGGAAACCTTTGGCAGGACACTGAAAAGAAACACTTTCTTCCTTGAATTTGTTCAATTCACTATCCTCTTGTGGTCTATCAAACCATGGAGCAACTGAAATAAAGGTAAGAATATCATGTAAGACCATGAACACTTAGAACTTACAAATGAAAATTTAAACCGTTTTGTCAACCATCGGGAAAACATTTCTTAACGTTGCCACCTGATCCCCATCTTTCTTTAGAGTATTGTTTACAAAGCAAATAATAATTGTACTTGATAATGTTTAGGACCAATTCAAAGATTTATTGGCTACATTTCAAATTCTAATCCGTGGTTTTATTGTTAATGTTGTTGTTGTTACTGTTGTTGTACTTTATAAGCCTTGTTGGTATTGCAGACGTACAGCCAATCACATCTCAGATTGGTCAGATCTTTTGCAGGTTAGTTCATGCGTGAAATATATAACGCACTCTGTCTCAACAAAGAAAACAAGAATTTCATCTGCAATCGTACCATTTCAACTATGGCAAAATAGTGTTATAGTGAAAACTGCCTAAGACTCATTGTATACTCACTTGTGATCATAGTACTGTCTGATACATTGTATGGTTTAATATTGCGAAGCCGAAGCTCAAGCTCACAACTGTAATTTCCTCCATCTCTGGCCGCGGCATTTTTTATAACTAGTGGCGCCAGTGTGTCTACAGGTTTGTCTGGGTTCGGGTTTCTCAAACTATGCTGTACAACACCATTTTTTAACCATGAAATCTTTTTCAGCCTAGACCACTCCGAGGCCTCAGTGATGTTGCAAAAGATGGTGATACTGTCACCGTGTTGCAGCATGTTGACTTTAGTCACAGATACAACAGGAATTTCGCTTCCTAAAATGAAACATAAGTAAGTAAGTAAGTAAGTAAAATACAATGAGAAATGCCCCAAAGGTGAAAAACCTGCTTATTTTCCTCAAATATATCTATGAATTTATATCTAGAACGGCTCGACTAGCTTTAAAACGGTGTTTACCGGCAGCATGTCTACGGAAAATGCTTTTCCTTTTAAAATATTTTTCCTTTCATTTTGTGTGTCTGCTGAATTGGTGCAGTGTTCGACACTGATTCACAGCTGAGCAGTTTTTTTTTCATATTTGATTTTTCTTGGCTTTTTTTCCCCTTATTTCTTTTTTGTTTCGCGAGGTTTTGCGTTACTCGAATTTTTACAGATTTAAGCCAGTTAAACTTACTTCCTATGACGTTCACACTGAAACCATGCCTGCGCTCCAAGGCTGATCCAACCGCAAAAGCGTGACATTCGAACCTTCCCAATGGACCAAACGTACTATCGTGTTCTAGCGTTACATTCCGTATGTGCATCGTGACAAAGAGCTTCTTTAACTTCTTTCCATCTGTAGAAGACACTGTAGAAATGTTAGGAAAGTTAGCAGGTTACATAATTAATTTCACACCGTCCAATAGATAGCTTCCTTGCATGTTTGTCATTGTCCTTTTTCAGAATAAGGTATACAAGAAACTTGACAGATTTCTAACAGTGTAATAGCAATACGCCATTTCTGAGTTGCTCGAAGCCTCTGTTAAGCGAGACGAAGTGCAAAGCCATTGATATGAAAATGATTTTTCATTCTCATGCAAATAAAACTCATTTTATTTTTTTTCACAAGGTTTGTTTCTTAGCCTCGTTTTGGACGTGAGAGTTTATGGAACGCGGAAATAGCCAATGATATGTGTTGCCCTCATGGGCAAGGAATGCTGGGTAAAACCTAATGATTGCTCAGACAACGTGCCGCTCTTTGGTTCGCAGAAGACGGTGACGTTAGAACGAAGGCTAATTCAGATCACTGATGTAAAGCGCGCTTTCTCATCGTGTAATAGCAGCGTAATATCAAATATAAAATAGGATCTTTAGCTCCAATACTATAAAGAAACACTTTTAGGTTTTATTTTTATAAGACTTCGGCTTACCCTTGTCCACTTCCTCGGTTCGGTGTGTGAAATATATGTTGTCATTAGCAGTTATATTTGTATAACGCGCAAAGTTGTCCTTCCTCATGAACTGTATCCTTTCAGGAGTTTTTATTCCAGCTGAATCAAAGGCTACACAGGTAACCTGGGCAGAAGTGAACTCAACAGGATAGATGTTAGCAGGAAATGGCTCAACAATCCTAAAATCGTCGGAAGCTGGTAGGAATGGAAAAAGCAAAATGAAGTTCAGCAGTTTTACTCGAGCACCCAGGAAAATGGACTTGAATTGGTTCGAATTATTGGGAGGGAGAGTTTCAAAGTATAAATTAAATAGGAGACTCAGCCAGAGTTTGAGCTATTGTGAGGTTCGATCGAGGTTATCCGAGAGTTTCAGGAATCGTTCGAGATTAGTTTATCAATGAATCTTTAGGTGTGTTAGGGCTAGTAACTTACCTCCATAAAATCCCTCCACAGAAACCGTCAAAATTCCAAGCGCAATTACTATGCACCTCACTGAAAAATCCATGTTGTCTGAGATCTTAAAGAACAAAGTACAATTCAGGTGGTTATAATGTAGGTCGGTATACTGAAAGTAGCATTTTGTTATTGCAATACCATTTTTTTACGAAACGACATCAGAAAGAAAATTTTTTACTAGCCTGGAATTTGTTCCTCGCGTGAAGCTGTAACAAATGAAAATCAATAATACACGGGCAAGAGTATTAAAAAGTATAATTATTTCTTAAATTTACGCTTTAGGAACGTATGCTTTGTTTACTTAGGTGAATAAATACGAAGTTTAAAATGCACGTTCGACGCCTCAATGCTAAATCTAATGAATCAATCTTACTTAAATTTAATTAATCTGTATTAATACTAAAAAGTCCTTTAAGGAAGCAATGTACAGAGCCTCTTTCACTCATTCTACACGGAAACAGTGTACTACACAATAGAGGAAAGAGAAAAACCACTGAATAAATAGAGTCTGATGTCGATCTGAGACTGAAAACATCCTAACAGCTGCTTATAAGTAAAAATGTCTCGCGTTATATTGGATAAGTTGTCACGTAAGTGGAACGCCTGTTCTGTGAATGCCTGTTTTGGTAGTCACGTACTGAACATGATAAAAGATTTGTCTACTGAAAATTAAAAATGTGGAGTTACTTTGATTAGAAACACCATGGTACACAATACAGTATTTATATAAACGAAAAGGAAAAACCACAGACGTAACAGGGTCACCACAATATCTAACCTCAATATTGAGGCTGAAAATATTCTAAAACGTGTTTGCTAGTGATGCTGTATTAGCTTTTAAATTTTAGCGAGTTAAATAATGACTATCACTGGACAAATAAGCTATCTTTGGACTCTCTCTTTGTGTGAAGGAGGACACGAACTGAATATGATTAATCATTTGTCTACTAAAAAAATGTCAAATCAATTTGAGCTAGCCCCAAAATCGAATCGATTAAACTCTTAGAGGAACTCAAGGAGTAAAAAAAAATTCTTGTAACACTTGCGGACCGTCATTCAAAGGAAAAAAAGCCTTTCCATAGACTGGGTGTTTTGTCTTATAGAGCAGCTCTAAAAGAAGGCACTTCTAAAAACCAGTTTTCGTGATTCTAAAAGACAGTAAGCCAATCTAAGGGAACCATATCGGATAGTAAAACGATTACCATTTCTGGGTTAATGATTAATTGCAAATTAACTACATTCATCGATTTTGAGATAAAGAATGTAAAATCAAGTAAAACATTTCGGCTGTTTTCTGAGGCTATTAGATGTCACTGAAAGGCTCATCATTTTCAGATCATTCACTCAGGCAAGTAAGGCATGGGTTGAAAGGCTAAAAAGACCCCCCACAGAGAATGCAAAGATCTTTTTTTATGACGTAGAAGAATCCAAATAAAGGGTTCCACAAAGATGCGATAAGATATATCTCACTAAAATAGTTTTGGAGAATTCATTCCAAGCATCACGTGACATTCCTTGGATCATGACGTCACAAAACCTGTTTTCTCAAACGGGGCAAGGTTGTTAAACCTCAGCCTAAAAATACTTGTCATCAAATTAATAATAATAATAATAAAGTCTTTATTCATCAAGAGATAAAAATACATATCTTTTGTTACAAGTAAGTGTAAGAAATTTAAACAGTTAAGAAGTAAGAATTAAAAAATATATACCCGTATATATACATCTAGTATATTACATAGCTAATTCATATTTAAAAACTAAACGATTAATAAAAGAGTTTTTGAACCGCATAGTGTTAATCTTAGGTTTAAAACAAGTTTCTTTCCTAAGATTGTAGCTAGAGGGTTTAACACGAGGCATAAAGGCCAAACTGTCTACAATCGGCAATAGAGTGTTTTCACATGACGTCACGGCGGCCATATTGGTGTCCCAAAACAATAAAACGGCGGCCATGTTGGTGTCCCAAACCAGTCCTCTGGGAGTTGAACTTTTTTCTTATGCAAACGCTTTCTTTTGTTCCAATAAATTAGCATAGATGCTGGCCACGTGAGTGAAAACACTCTATTGGCCTTAAATAAGAGTTATTAAAGTCTTTTATAATTCACGTGACCTGTTTTTCATTTCGTAATCCTTGCTCCACTTAGGCATACATGCAGGGCTAAATCATAACATCCAGGACATGGGAAAAATACTGGTGCCTAAGAATATTTGCTACTCCTTCATTTCCTTTCCCCCGTTTTAATTTGAACATTTTGACTGTTAACGATCATCTGTAGGTCTCGTGACTAATATTTCAACAATGAATATGTCACATATTGTTAAGGCCATCGAGCTGAAACTGTTTGCCAAGTTTCATGACGACTGATCAAAACAATCCATTTCAAATGCCACTTCGCCAAATTATGCAAATTATGAGGTGACCCTTGCCTTAACATGCCTGAGCAGTAAATTGCGTGCACGTCAAGGTAAGAGAGGGCAACCACTCATGGAGGTATCTTATATTGTTCCTAATTTTCCGACGAGCATCCTTTTCACTTTTATATGGGAGTCGTCCGGGAATGGGAATGATAAGATCCTGAAGATCTTGAAAAGATCGATCGGGTTGACTCTTTAAAGTTATTTAATTTCGTTATTTAATTTTGAGAAGGAGTTTGAAATGTAATTTTAGAATTAAATTGTGCTACCAAGAGAGGGGCTCTCCTCTCTTCCCTTTCAGCACCTGACTGTCTGAGAGAGTACACTGCTAGCGCAAGTGAAGTTCTTAGGGAATCTCACTTTTAATACTATGAAAGGGAAAAGAACTGAAGCAAACCCATATTTCGCATGCGGTAACAGAGTGATAATCATTATTTTTAAGTAGTATTGACTTCTTCTAAAATCTTCCCCATCCTGTCATTCGGTAATAATAGAAACTATAAAATAACAAAAAACATAATAAAAAATTCGAAAACTTACTTTGGTTGACGATTGCCTCAAAAGTTAGCAAGTTATACAGCGGTAAGACTTCGGTTAATAAAAATCTTTTACTTCTTGTTACGAGCTGTCTTAATTTATAACACAACGATACGTGCCAATGGCACACAAATCGGGGGCCGAGTTACCCAACACATCTACGATAATTCCTGTATCAGCGCGAAACGGCCACAAATCCCTTGCTTAAATGTTCTTAAAATCACGTTCAGCTCTTGACATCAAGGTCGCGGGGCACATTCCCCACGAATAAACTGATAAGGAATAATTGTGCTGGAGGTGTATCATTAATAAAGATTATTTTGGTCGTTTTGGCCTAACTTGCCATCGTTTAATTTAATGTATTCTATCTGTCCGTAAAAGTTTGCTTCTTTGTTGAAACATTAACAGCGAGCTCTATGATAGTCCTTTTTCTTTATAGAAACGGTAAGTACGTGAATGTTTTGCCAATTTAGAGGAAAGGGCTATTGAATCACTTTCCATGCGAGACAAGAAATGACGTATATATTAACATCAAATATGTGCTTATAAGAAATTCACAGTGAAATTTACTCATGCGGGCTTCAAACATGTTTAAGCGGTCACAAAGTTCTACGTTCGCGTTTTAGGAATTTATATGGTCTAACAACAACAACAACAAAAATTAAAAGAAACGTTATTCGACGTTTCAATGCATGTAACACCATTATTAAGAATAAAAAAAACGTGAAGTGTCAAAGTTTAGGGGCACCCGACTGTTTTCCGTAAAATATCTGTATCAGAGAAGCAAATATCGCCCAGAATTTTTTGTTATTTGAGGACGTCTAAAAGTTTCTAGATGAGCGTTCCATAGGCCTATTCGGCTAACTCAATGTTGTACCCAATGAACCTGTGGGAATAAACCGTTTTGTTTCAGGAATTTCCATATCATTTAAATGTGAATGCCACATTATAATGCAAATACAATACACAAAGAATCTTATCCCCGGGAGATTTGAATTGGGTACAACATTGAGTTAGCGGAAAAGGTCTACTCATGTACAATTTTAGAAGCTTATCTTCTAAATTCCCTACGCTTTTCTGAAGTTTAATACAGTATGACATTTCCCACCCCAGGTTAGGCTATTTATCGTTGGAAAAAGAAAACCTAAAATTCTGGGATTAAAGAAAGTGATGCTGAGAGGAATTAAAAAAATATATCACTTTCGTAATGCTTTAAATTGCATCTAAAATTTTCGGGAAAATAATACTGAAGCCCTTGTAATTTCGATAAGATTATAAAGTTCCCGGCTAGGATGACCGAACGGATACAGATTTATAGCGCCGCTTAGAATGCATTTCTAGAGGTCTACGCTTGCCTAAAAAGTGTTTTCAATGCATTTGGGAGCAAACCGTCGTTGGGTGCGCCTGAAAGTTGTAAAAAGAGTTGAACTTTGAATTCATTTACACAGGAGCTTAACCATCACTCAGAACGTGTAATCAGACTTGACTCCAGCGAAGCATTGTATTAGTACATTTGTATAAGCACCAAGCACCCTAATGAATACAAATCTCAACTCTCTTTAAAACAACCTTAGCTTAAACATCGAATAACGTTACTTCTAATTTTTCCACTGAATTAGAAGTGACGTTATATATGGCCGCTACAGCAACGTCGAGTTATGGAGGTAAGAGACTCCATAGTCTTAATACCCACATTCTCATTATCTTTGAAAAAACTGACAAATGACGAGGAAGGTCGAGGAAGCCTGGCCTGTAAGGGTACTTTCGAAAACGGGGAAGCGAGGAATGGTGATGTTTTGCTGGAATTTTGCATTGGAACCCCTATCACACATCCCCCACTCCCCAAACGTATTCAGTCTTACGTCAGACATGGGGTAGCTAATTTTATAGTATAACTCTAGACGGATTTCTGAAAACTAACCTAGTGAAATTTGCAGTCATTCAAAACGGCAAAAAAGCCAAGTTTTTTTCCTTTTTTCGTCCGATATAAGCCCGAAAATGACGCATAAGGAGCTTATGCGCTAAGAAAGGACGGCCTTTAAAACGAGACGTTTGAGTTTTTCTTCATTACCTTATTCCATGAAATTTTCGCCACACGTTAATTTTCGCGAATTTCACGATGCAACTTTAAAAAATCGCGAAATTAATGTGACGCGAACAATCAGAGTGTCGCGAACATAACATGACGCAAAAATTAAGTGACTCACATTATGTCCGTAATAAAGAAAGAACGAGTTTATTACCTCTGAAATGTTTACAAATCATATTTTTTTTCCTTTCGGGGGATTTTTCAGTGTAAATGGATGTTGTCGTCAATTGACTCAAGAACAATAATTCACGTACAAGCATGAACTTCTTATGGACTTTGTGAGAACTGCTTTGTTGTTACTGGTCCCGCCGTTGCGTTTTTCTCAATTTTGACGTTATTGTCCCTTTAATAAAGTCGTTTAATTTAATTCAAAGACATGTTGAACAACATTGCCCATGAAATATAAATTGTTGTACTCAAAAACGTGAATTTAAAGTGATTCAAAATATAAAATTTTCGCAAAATCGCGAAATTTAAGAGCCTGTTTACATGGAGGTGGGGGACCCCAGGTAGCTGAGGTATCCCGCTTAGGTGGGATAACCCACCTGTCCGTATAATCTCTCATTTTAATTTGATCTCGTTTACGAGACAAGACAAGACAAGACAATGCTTTATTTTGAGTCTTATAAAGTCCTATGTACAAGGACTTTATCCAAATCATAACCCAAATTGCACACTAGTGGAACTATAATCAATGTTAACCTAAACAACTAATGATCTTCTTTTCTCATAGCAGTCGAATACGTATTTTGCAATTAACCTTTTCCACTGGTTTATTCTTGCTCAGAGGGTTTATTAACAACAGAAAAACGTCACCTGGTGCCATTCTGTTTACTGATATTTTGTATTCTTTGCGTAAGTATTCAAATAAAGTACTTCTTTTTTTTCTTGATACGCAGGGCACAGAGTTAAAAAATGTATTTCATCTTCTACGTCTTTTTTTACAGATAGGACAGATCCTCTCTTCCGGTTTCTTATAAGGTCTTACATACCGACCTGTCTCTATCGCCAATTTGTGATTACTTAGACGGAGTTGAGTTAGAGTTATCCGGTGTCGGATGTTGGTGACCTGACAGAGATAATGATGGGTGCGGTGACCGCCAAGGCGGGTAGCCCGGTCTGCCAGACCGGGCAACCCTCTCAACCGGGGTCGAATTTTGCCACGTAAACGTTTCAAGGTGGAGTAACTCGTCTAGCCGGGGTCGGATTCGTGATACACCAAATTCGCCCAAAATTCACTTTGGCGGTTGCTTTGCATGATTATTATAAGGTAACAATGGAAAGCCAGAGCACTGAAGGTTGCAGCAAGAGCAGCAAGTGAGTGTAGAAGAGCATTAATCGCCAAAACACGTGGTTTTCCATCATTTTTCTTGTCTACGTGCTTAGCGACCATTCAACAATCTTGAAAAAGCGTACCCCGGAATGGCGGGGTTATAAGATTGCATGTAAAGGAGGATATTTTTTTACCCCACCTGAGCGGGTTACCTCACCTACCTGGGGTCCCCCACCTCCATGTAAACAGGCCCTAAGTGTCGCGAAATATGCGCACATGAAAATCGCGAAATAAACAACTCGCGAAAATTTCATGTAATAAGGTATGCTTATCATGCTTATGCTTATGTCACGAAAGTGTTCACTAGCCCATAAAATTCTTATGCTCGCTTAACCTGCGTATCAGGCGTCAAAAGGGCAAGGGGATTAGGAGGAAGGGAAAAGGTGAGGGGGCTATCGCACTTTTCTCCTTCTCCCCCTCCCCCTCAGCCCCCCTCCCCTTTTTGCACCTGCCCCGCTGCCATGCAAATATCCTTCCCTCCCCCCTCTCTATCCCCCACCTCCTCGATGTTTTTCGTGCTAACATTTCTTTTCACAGAGGAGTTCAATACCATCTTTACTTTCTGAACTCTCTTACTAGAGACCTTTAGATTCGAGGACGAGAACGACAACGAGAACGACATTTCACTTGAAGTTTTTTTGGCGTATTCTTAAAAAAAGACATCCCGAAAAGCTTCGTCGTACTTTTTTTTTACTAGAAAAGTTAACACTGTTATCTTTTTGAAGCAGGTTAAACCACGTATCGATCGCAAAATAACAAAACTTCTAACATTTCATAACGTAACTTGTTTTCGCCACTACAAAATTCTTGCTAAAACTCGTACTAGAATGACGACGACTATCACGTTTTCCCGCCAAAATGACGCTGAGCACTACTTAGTATTGAGAAAATCTCGTACTCGTAGGTCCTCGCCTTAGAATCTAAAGCTCTTTACTATCTGAACGCTTGCAACAGACTATTCTTGCGCCAAAAGACTCTTCCGTGGCCGCAACAAAAAATGACAGCAAAATTATGACTGTCCTAAAGGGTTTAGTTTTATCGTTTGTCTCACGATTGTCACTTTGATGTTGATCGCGACATTTCGACCGCACACTGCTGGTCTTCATCAGGATATAGTGTCGATTTACTGAGTCGAACTATTGGTACCACCGTGGTTGTTAGTGATTGGTGTATCACAAACCTCGCTCATGGTTGGTGGGTTTCGATCCAAAGCATTGTTGGCATTGTGAGAGGAAGAGGCTGATCCCTTGGCGTTTCAGCGTGGTAGAGGTCAGTTGTCATGTTGTCTGATTGTAGACATCCAAGCTTCAGGAATCTGAATTCCACTGTACGTTCCTGTTGATGTTGTTAGGGTGAAGTCTCATGTGGATAGACTCCATATACGAGAGTACCATGCAGTGAGGGTCTCGGTCAATAAACTTAACTTTGTCCCAGAGCGGATAATGCCCGGTCTTATTGACCAGAGGGGTCAGTGGGGTCTTTGTTAAGAAGTCGATATGGACCGCTCTTGATAAGAGTTTTCATCCTCTGGCGATAGGTCTTGGTATCTTATAAAACTACGCTGGCGTGACCTTTGTCAGCCGGGAGAACCATGAGCGTCATCCTCCTTCAAGCCTTTGAGGGTTTGTTTCATGCCTTTAGTGATGTTAGGCTTAGGTGGCTGTGCCTTTTGGAGAAGATTATTTGCAGTTCTCCTGACTGAAGAGGTTTGTTCTGTGTCAAGTGGTCTTATAACAGACTCGACTTTGGCAACTATCTCAATTCACACAGGTCCAACCCCTCCCCTCGCCCCACAAACAATGTTTGACGCGTGTATCCAGAATTTTTTCCGAGTTTCAACTTTATATAGGGTGGAGGGAGGGAAAACTGCAAGAATATTTCGAAAAGGATGCCCTGTTTTATGAGGGAACCGAGAAGTGACAGAAAAAATATGACTATTGCATTACTGTTCCAAGGACTTTTATCCATGATTGTAGTTATAGTAACATTGATCTCATAATAATAGTAATACGTCGAAAGCGGATTGCTTAAATAAACAGAAAGAGTGAAAGAGTATGTTTTTTTACCCAATAATCTCTAGACTGACTGGTTTTTGTAACAAAAATTAACCTTAAAAAAAAAACATTATTTGAAATCCTCCTGACAATCTCAAACTTCATTTATGATAATATTCCATTTAACAACTGAAGGCCGTGCAAGAACGATTTATGGATAGGTACCATTGGTACGATTGGAAAAAAAAGAAAGAGAGTCTATTGGTCAGTGTCGAGTGCATTCTAAAGTTCTGTTTTTCACATTCAAGGCAATTCATGGCATCGTTCTCGTGTACATTGGGGAGCTGGTCTCCCTTAAAGAACGAGGTGTTTATACAATCTTAGATCTGCTAGTGGAACACTGTTGACCGCGCCCTCTTGTAAGACTAGGGTAACTCCTGGCTTGAGCTTTGGCTCGATACCAGGGATTAAGCCCGTGACCACCCGCTATGCAGGCTAGCCATCTCTTCACTGAGCTAACCATACCGCAGCCGTTTACTTCGTTTAGGTACATGAATCAAGATGTTCAGTTGCAAGACTCTTTGAATTACTCACGTACTCTCTTTATCTACTGAGCGACAAAATTAGTCGAACTAGAATTTTATTTTCATTTTTAACAAGCAGTGTACCAATTAATGACGTCATAAAACCCTTGATAAAACCTATAGTATAAATGTCTTTGCGACTTCTTATATGTAGGACCTAACTACAGTTATCATAGAGCTTCGCTGATCTGTACAGGCAAGATCATGTTCTGCAAGAAAAAAAACAACAACATTAGATTACGCTCAGCTGTATTATTCAGTCAAACTACTTAGTCATTCAACCGCTGTATAATTTTCTAAGAACTAACGAACCGAGATTAATATAATCACTCATGCCATGATCAATATCATTATCGTAAATCGTTATCATCAAATTCATTAAATATATAGCCGTTAGAAAAATTGATGATAACAAAGATTATGTCGGTCTCTATTTATATCTCTTATTTTAAACTTAGCACAACAAGGTTAAATATCCCCACTTGGAGAAGGTGATAAAGCCTGGCCGAGGTGTACAACTCGGATCGGTGGCGAGGAGCAACTCCTACTGCTACGTAAGGGCTTCTTCTTGTAACAACAACAACAACATAAGCTTTATTTGCATGACTATAATTATGTAGTTACAGTATATTGCAAAAGCTTTAACATAAAGTTACAATTTATAACAATGATAATGCAATGCAATGATTACTACAGTCAATCAAGTGTTATCAGCATGATTTGATAACAAATTAGCGCGTAAAATCATTATATAATGAGACCAATCTCAACAAATGTGAATTTACGGAAAAATTCTGTGAATTCATAAATTTAATTATTAATTCTGTGTAAGATAGCTGATTAAAGTCGTAAAAATTTTGTTGGATTTGATTGTAGAATTTCTCCCTTGGGATTGAATATTTTGGACAATGGAAGAGAAAATGAAATTCGTCTTCAATTATACCAGAGTTACAAATAGGGCAGAATCTATAGTTGCGGGAATTTTGATTATATCTTCCAGTTTCTATCATGAGTTTGTGTTTCCTTATACGAATGTTCACTAAGTCTTTCCTATTGGTTGAATTTCTAATTAAGTCTAGATAACTTGAAATTTTATAATAATAATTAAATAAGCTGTAAAATTAAGTTATATAACAATTATGCGGCCCGATAGGTATGATGGGTGGTCCTCTTTCGGTTCCAAATTGGATATGGATCTTATCTTCTTGGGTGTGAAATAGGATAAGTATTTGTCCTTTTTGGAAGCAGGGGCTGGAATTTAGGATATTTTTTGGTCTGAAATAGTAGGGTGGGGGAAGTCACATTTTTCATTTTTTATTTTTGTCAAGTAAGTTGACGATTCCAGGAAGCACACCTCGCGTCCCCACCCGAATTTTTCACGAATATCCCCTTCACCGGATTTCCACGAGTCTGGCGCGCTGACTACACGCTGCTTTCCATATGATTGTTTTCCCACCTTTGTTTAGCGATCATGGATTGATGTATCACTTGCATGGTCCTTCATTGCAAGCCATGGACTCCTGTCGTGCTCCAACACAGTCCTTTCCCTTCCACTGGCGAGGGGGATTAGTACAGGTTCTTGTTCGTACTTTGACGCCACTGCCACCACAAGTCACACTGCAGGAGGAGAACGGGGTCCATTTGGAGAAGCCGCCATCAACAGCTGTGAAAAAAGATCGTGATCAAAAGTGTGTCACTAAGAATCATGATCCTATTAAACCTGGACGACCGTACACAGGGGCGAACGAAGGATTTTGTGATAGAGGGAGCCTAGAGATATAGAATACATTGGCAATATAGACGTGATAGCACCCGTCAGGACTGCGAACGGCGCACACTTCTAGGGAGTTTCGGGCGAAAGCTCCTCCGGGAAAATGTTTTGAGATTGAAGTTTTCTTTGATGCAATCAAGAGAGAACAATCTTTCTCTCTTGGTTCTCTCTTGATGCAATCTAGTGTATTCTGGAGGCTTAAATTTAGCAAATGCCTGGATTCCATATTGAACATGTTAATGCTGAAATATTTAATAAACCACAGGCGTGGTTGTGATAAAAGAAGTACAAGACTTTACGATGCTAGCAGAAGCCAAAGCGATTGCGGCGAGAGCACATCCTTCCGGCAAAGGCAGCGACATAATCTCTCTGAAAAATTGTCAAATCCAGTTTGTTTGAGACGGATATTTACTGCATGCATTCTGGGAGCTTTGGTCATTTGCAGCTAAAAATGTAGGCTTCGAACACAGATTCTTTTCTTATTAACAATGTTAATTAAAGAAAATATATTTAAGTAACAAAGCTCGAAGTACCATCCAACACACGTTTACAAAGAGGAAATTTCCGGACAAAGGGGGGGGGGCGCCGGCGGGGGCCCCCTGGGCCCACCCCTAAATCCACCTTAAGTACAGAGTAACGTTTCTGACTTCACAGTCGTTTTGAGATTTTATCATGTCTACCGATTTCAATTTAATCTATTTCAAGCAAGTTTTTTAAATTCTAAGTTTAATTTTCTCGAGAAATATTTACCGGCAATACCTCTGTTAGCTTTCTTGTAGCTGGTTCATATTTCGCCTTTTTCTCTAAATAATATATTAAGGGCACGTTTCCATTACGGACTGTTCTCTAGGTCCCACTGCAGGGACACCTCCCAAATGTGGACACTTAGCCCAATGAAATACAGTCAAACCCCGCTTTACTAATACGGACACCTCATTATTTAGGACCGTTTGCTTTGTCCCTGGTGAAAGAAGGCCCTTACAGACACCCAGTTAATACGGACATTTTTTAAGGCCCCCTCAGTCATGTCCGTATTAAAGGGGATTGACTGTAGTTCCCTTTTCTCACGTATTGTTATACCATTGCAGTAGCAGACCTCAGGAAACAAACCATGATAACATTAGAGACTGAAGGGGAGAATAATGGGGACTAAGTTATTAGAGGACAAATTAATAGTAAAGAGAATAGTTGTGAAAAGGACACTTCTACGTATAGCCATTTTTCTTAGTATGGTACTTTAGCCCGCCCTCGGTTAAATTGACAAATAATTTATTATCACTTACGCTGGCAGATGACTTTCGTTAAGTCATCAAACAAGTCATTTAGTTCTGTATAATTTGACACATGGTAGGCGTGGTCATTAACGACACCTCTTAATCCCCTCTGATGTTTCGACTTTTGACCCGATGCGGTTACTACCAACTGTGTACCTTTTCCCTAAAATGCAAAAATATTTACCTTAAAAAAAAACATTCTAAAGGACAGAACATTTTACATGCAGTCGAATAATGTACTTATTAAATCATAACTTACGGATTGCACCATAACGCGTGAAAAGTTTTTTAAAAACGTGGAATTTGAAACTCAAAGGGGAGCTGAAGATAAATTCCCGTTTTTTCCTACGTCTGCCGGAAAAAATATAAGTATTTGATCTAAAAAACAACGACGAAAAGGTATTCTGTGCGCTGGGAAATTTAAACACTACTATTTGATGGTTTGTTCCATTAGATCCCATAAATGTTCAACATTTTCCTTAGCGATAGAATATGTTCATCTTAATGAAAAAGAATCGTGAACTTCTTCTTTTTGAGGAAGCCGGCACTTTCCATATCACGGATTTCCCAGATACGATCGTAACGATCGCTGAGTAGGCACGTCACTATGGTCGCATCTTTGCTGACGTCATTGTTTACAATTTTGCTCATTAGCATACGAAGGCCGAAGGCCTCGTTGGATAACACCCTCCTCGATCTGCTTAATTATTCATATCCTACGAGAACCGAATTCATTAATTGCTTTATTATTCATTCAAAGTAATTCCTTGTTTAAAAACATAGCAAAAACATGCTTACCTGCATCGATGTTAAGTTCATCTTCGATAGTGTACCTTTAGGTTTGTCCAGCTCCGCAAATATTCTCCAAATAGCAGATGTCGCTCTCCGAGTTGTCTTCTTGCAGTTTTTGCTATGTTTTTAGCTATTATTTCACCTAGATCCAGGTGTAGTTCTTACTCTTGAAACGAGTGAAGTGCCCGCCATTTTTATTTTCAACCTCGTCCCCAGGTCTTCTCGGTAACGGTGCCTTGACCTGTAGCGGGCTGCATTTTCGACGTCATTTCAACGTTAAATACAAAATTCTTCCAAATTTGGTCATCAGTAACTGGTTATGGTGAATTATGCGTGTGCTTTTAGCCAATCAGAATTGGGGAAATATTTTGAATGAATAATAAACACAAATTAAACTCCAAAGTTGAAAGAGTTGGTTAATTTGAGCAATTTTTTCGCGAAATTGCTTGTTGGCAAAAACGCGAATGAGCCATACATTCTTTATAAAGTTTCGATTTTCTTTAAAGATAATTTCTCCGAAACTACTCGGTATTCCGGGCTCAAATTTTGACATAACTGAAATTGTTACTCTCTTTTGATATTCAGAGAGTCTATTTTAATAGCTTCAGTAGGGAATGAAACGGATATACGGCCAATGAGGAAAAAAAATTTAAATTCACCTATTGAGGTACAGTTCGCTAAAAAATATGCTACGTGATCATGATTTGAAAACAGCAAGTCGGAAAGGTAGAACAACATCTATTGTACCTTCACAGGTGATGAAATAGCTTCAGTCATGTCTACCAACAAACCAAGGTCCAGTTTGCAACGGAACTTGTCATCTAAGAGAAATAAATGAGTAGATTAAGAAACAAACATTAATTTAATTATGAGCAAATATTTCAGCTATGTCCAGGAGGAGAACCCCCTTGTAAAATAGTCCTGTATCGGGAAATTAGAATTAGACCAGGAGCTCATGGGCTCCTGAATTAATTCCTAATGGAAGGCTAATCTGGACTCGTGGCTTAGGCCTTACTTAAGCTTAACTCCTAAAGAGAATACGAGATTTCCTTTATGACCACCGTAGGTGAGATCAAAAAGAGAGATGACGATATCCCCGTCCCCATCATATGGTATCCCCCCCCTCCTCTTCGGGGCGATAACTTGGTCGCTAACCGACCCAAGATTGAGTTCTCTCTCTCCATTCCATCTTTTAAAAATAGAAAGAACAATAAACTACTTTTTACCTCTTACTCCAAGTACAAATCGGTGGCAGTTGTTTTTGACATCATTGGAGCAGTTAGACGGGAGGCAGCAATAATAAGATCCACTGTCAGAATACTGCAAGTCGTTCACTGTCAATACATATGGCGCGTAAATCCCATCGCGATGTATGCGATATTTTACATCTGAGCCACCTGCCGAGAATTTTTAAACGAGGTTTACATTTGCTTTCAAGACTGTCTAAAAACTTATTTAAACGAATAAACCCTTCCTGGACAAAGCTAACGCCTTCATCAAGTACGCCAGGGGGAATACAGTACAAATTTTCATTACGCCAGCGTCGATACTAGCTGACATTACAAATCATCACATCGTATCCTTGCTCTTGTATACTTGCCCAGATAATGACAAACAAAACTATCTTGTAAGCCGGTGGAGAGTCCAAAAGACGTTTAAGCGGTGAGATGTACAGCTGGCCCAACACTTACTTATGCAAGAGCGTATATTGTCTTCACCACTCTTCTGAAACTTCCATTCAACGTTTAATGGGAAACCTTTGGCAGGACACTGAAAAGAAACACTTTCTTCCTTGAATTTGTTCAAGTCAGTATCCTCTTGTGGTTTATCAAACCATGGAGCAACTGAAATGAAGGTAAGAATATCATGTAAGACCATGAACACTTAGAACTTACAAATGAAAATTAAAACCGTTTTGTCAACCATCGGGAAAACATTTCTTAACGTTGCCACCTGATCCCATCTTTCTTTAGAGTACTGTTTACAAAGCAAATAATAATTGTACTTGATAATGTTTAGGACCAATTTAAAGATTTATTGGCTACATTTCAAATTCTAATCCGTGGTTTTATTTTTAATGTTGTTGTACTTTATAAGCCTTGTTGGTATTCCAGACGTACAGCCAATCACATCTCAGATTGATCAGATCTTTTGCAGGTTAGTTCATGCGTGAAATATATAACGCACTCTGTCTCAACAAAGAAAACAAGAATTTCATCTGCAATCGTACCATTTCAACTATGGCAAAATAGTGTTATAGTGAAAACTTCCTAGGACTCATTGTATACTCACTTGTGATCATAGTACTGTCTGATACATTGTATGCTTTAATATTGCGAAGCCGAAGCTCAAGCTCACAACTGTAATTTCCTCCATCTCTGACCGCGGCATTTTTTATAACTAGTGGTGCCAGTGTGTCTGCAGGGTTGTCTGGGTTCGGGTTTCTCAAACTTTGCTGTACAACACCATTTTTTAACCATGAAATCCTTTTCAGCCCAGACCTCCTCGAGGGCTTAGTGATATTGCAAAAGATGGTGATACTGTCACCGTGTTGCAGCATGTTGACTTTAGTCACAGATACAAAAGGAATTTCGCTTCCTAAAATGAAACATAAGTAAGTAAATGAGTAAAATACAATGAGGAATGCCCTAAAGGTGAAAAACCTGCTTATTTTCCTCAAATATATCTATGAATTTATATCTAAGACGGCTCGACTAGCTTTAAAACGGTGTTTACCGGCAGCATGTCTACGGAAAAATTCTTTCAATAACCTTTCATAATATTTTTCCTTTCATTTTGTGTGTCTGCTGAATTGGTGCAGTGTTCGACACTGATTCACAGCTGAGCAGTTTTGTTTTTTCATATTTGATTTTTCTTGGCTTTTTTCCCCTTATTTCTTTTGTTTCGCGAGGTTTTGCGTTACTCGAATTTTTACAGATTTAAGCCAGTTAAACTTACTTCTTATGACGTTCACACTGAAACCATGCCTGCGCTCCAAGGCTGATCCAACCGCAAAAGCGTGACATTCGAACCTTCCCAATTGACCATACGTACTATCGTGTTCTAGCGTTACATTCCGTATGTGCATCGTGACAAAGAGCTTCTTTAACTTCTTTCCATCTGTAGAAGACACTGTAGAAATGTTAGGAAAGTTAGCAGGTTACATAATTAATTTCACACCGTCCAATTCTCGGTTTTCACTGTCACGCAATCAAAAATAAAATTGCAAACCATTCAATACAGAAAGTCCCGAATCTAGGAAATAAAAGAAGATAAATAAGCAAAAGGCCTCGCCAAGAATCAGGTCTGTGCGATATTTCATATGCGAGATATTAGGAAAAACGTTTTACCCAAATTTACAAAGCTTTGTATGGCGACGCCATGTTTGTGTCCCTTTGCGGGGCACAAATATGGCCGCCGGAAACCAACAGAAACATCTGTTTTTGATTTTTCCTACTAATGCGTTAATTCATCGCTTGAAAAACTCATAAACTATTAAAGTGATATTTATTCTGAGACAAAGAATGTTTAGACAGCAAAATCTCCCAAAATTGGTAATGTTTTTAACCCACATAAGAGCCGTTGTGGCCGCCAGCTAAATGCCGCGTCACGTAAAAGCCTAGAAATTCAAACGTCCTCTATCGCAAAACGAAGAACCCTTTCGAACCAAAACTCTGTTTAAATAAAGGTGTTTAGGTGCTGTAATACCTCATGAAACTCAGAAACTCAGAAGAATCGATAGTTTCTTAGTTTGAATTTTGGTGACGTCATGTGAAAACCGAGAATAGATAGCTTCCTTGCATGTTTGTCATTGTCTTTTTTCAGAATAAGGTATACAAGAAACTTGACAGATTTGTAACAGTGTAATAGTAATACGCCATTTCTGAGTTGCTCAAAGCCTCTGTTAAGCGAGACGAAGTGCAAAGCCATTGAAATGAAAATGATTTTTCATTCTCATGCAAATAAAACTCATTCTATTTTTTTTCACAAAGTTTTTTCTTAGCCTCGTTTTGGACGTGAGAGTTTATGGAACGCGGAAATAGCCAATAATATGTGTTGCCCTCATGAGCAAGGAATGCTGGGTAAAACCTGATGATTGCTCAGACAACGTGCCGCTCTTTGGTTCGCGGAAGACGGCGACGTTGGAACGAAGGCTAATTCAGATCACTAATGTAAAGCGCACTTTCTCATCGTGTAATAGCAGCGTAATATCAAATATAAAATAGGATCTTTAGCTCCAATACTATAAAGAAACACTTTTAGGTTTTATTTTTATAAGACTTCGGCTTACCCTTGTCCACTTCCTCGGTTCGGTTTGTGAAATATATGTTGTCATTAGCAGTTATCTTTGTATAACGAGCATACCAGTCCTTCCTCATGAACTGTATCCTTTCAGGAGTTTTTATTCCAGCTGAATCAAAGGCTACACAGGTAACCTGGGCAGAAGTGAACTCAACTGGATAGATGTTAGCAGGAAATGGCTCAACAATCCTAAAATCGTCGGAAGCTGGTAGGAATGGAAAAAGCAAACTGTAAACAATAGGTCTGAAAATGAAGTTCAGCAGTTTTACTCGAGCACCCCAGAAAATGGACTTGAATTGGTTCGAATTATTGGGAGGGGAGAGTTTCAAAGTCTAAATTAAATAGGAGACTCCGCCAGAGTTTGAGCTATTGTGAGGTTCGATCGAGATTATCCGAGAGTTTCAGGAATCGTTCGAGATTGGTTTATCAATGAATCTGTAGGTGTGTTAGAGCTAGTAACTTACCTCCATAAAATCCCTCCACAGAAACCGTCAAAATTCCAAGCGCAATTACTATGCACCCCACTGAAAAATCCATGTTGTCTGAGATCTTAAAGAACAAAGTACAATTCAGGTGGTTATAGTGTAGGTCGGTATAATGAAAGTAGCATTTTGTTATTGCAATACCATTTTTTCACGAAACGACATCAGAAAGGAAATTTTTTACTAGCCTGGAATTTGTTCCTTGCGTGAAGCTGTAACAAATGAAAGTCAATAATACACGGACAAGAGTATTATAGCCTGCGCGCAGACGAAATTAAACTCTGGTTAACTCCGTCTGCGAAACAGCGCCGAAATCCTTGTTCTGGACTTCCAGCTGTGTACCCAGATTTGAGTAGGCGCCACGATTGGCCAGTTAAAAAAGGCCTTTGTTTTGTTTGTCGTGATCGCCAATCAGGTTGAAGGGGAATTCGAAACGCACTTCCGGTAATTCGTTGAGTCCGTTGGGGGTCCAGAACAAGGATCTCTGCGCTGCTTCGCAGACGGTACTAATCAGAGTTTAGTTATCGTCTGCACGCAGACTAGAGTATTAAAAAGTATAATTATTTTTTAAATCTACACGTTAGGGACTTATGCTTTATTCACTTAGGTGAATAAATACGAAGTTTAAAATGCACGTTCGACGCCTCAATGCTAAATCTAATGAATCAATCTTACTTAAAATTTAATTAATCTGTATTAATGAGTCCTGTAAGGAAGCAATGTACAGAGCCTCTTTCACTCATTCTACACGGAAACAGTGTACTACACAATAGAGGAAAGAGAAAAACCACCGAAAAAACAGAGTCTAATGTCGATCTGAGACTGAAAACATCCTAACAGCTGCTTATAAGTGACAATGTCTCGCGTTATATTGGATAAGTTGTTACGTAAGTTGAACGCCTGTTCTGTGAATGCCTGTTTTGGTAGTCACGTACTGAACATGATAAACGATTTGTCTACTGAAAATTAAAAATGTGAAGTTACTTTGATTAGAAACACCATGCTACGCAATACAGTATTTATATAAACGAAAAGGAAAAACCACAGACGTAACAGGGTCACCACAATATCTAACCTCAATATTGAGGCTGAAAGTATTCTAAAACGTGTTTGCTAGTGACGCTGTATTAGCTTTTAATTTTTACCGAGTTAAATAATAAATATCACTGGACAAATAAGCTATCATTGGACTCTCTCTTTGTGTGAAGGAGTACACGAACTGAATATGATTAATCATTTGTCTAGCCCCAAAATCGAATCGATTAAACTCTTAGAAGAACTCAAGGAGTAAAAAATTTCTTGTAACACTTGCGGACCGTCATTCAAGGGAAAAAAAGCCTTTCCATAGACTGGGTGTTTTGTCTTATAGAGCAGCTCTAAAAGAAGGCGCTTCTAAAAACCAGTTTTCGTGATTCTAAAAGACAGTAAGCCAATCTAAGGGAACCATATCGGATAGTAACGATTACCATTTCTGGGTTAATGATTAATTGCAAATTAACTACATTCATCGATTTTGAGATAAAGAATGTAAAATCAAGTAAAAAATTTCGTCTGTTTTCTGAGGCTATTAGATGCCACTGAAATGCTCATCATTCTCAGTTCACTCACTCAGGCAAGTAAGGCATGAGTTGAAAGGCTAAAAAGACCCCAACAGAGAATGCAAAAATCTTTTTTCATGACGCAGAAGAATCCAGATAAAGGGTTCCACAAAGATACGATAAGATATATCTCACTAAAATAGTTTTGGAGAATTCATTCCAAGCATCACGTGACATTCCTTGGATCATGACGTCACAAAACCTGTTTTCTCAAACGGGGCAAGGTTGTTAAACCTCAGCCTAAAAATACTTGTCATCAAATTGTCAGCCAAACTGTCTACAATGTCAATTGGCCTTGCAAGGTGGATTAACGCATTTAAATAAGAGTTATTAAAGTCTTTTATAACTCACATGACCTGTTTTTCTCTATTTCGTAATCCTTGCTCCACTTAGGCATACATGCAGGGCTAAATCATAATATCCAGGACATGGGAAAAATACTGGTGCCTAAGAATATTTGCTGCTCCTTCATTTCCTTTCCCCCGTTTTAATTTGAACATTTTGACTGTTAACGATCATTTGCAGTTCTCGTGACTAATATTTCAGCAATGAATATGTCACATATTGTTAAGGCCATCGAGCTGAAACTGTTTGCCAAGTTTCATGACGACTGATCAAAACAATCCATTTCAAATGCCACTTCGCCAAATTATGCAAATTATGAGGTGACCCTTGCCTTAACATGCCTGAGCATTAAATTGCGTGCACGTCAAGACAAGAGAGGGCAACCACACCTTTCAAAAGGGTCATGGAGGTATCTTATATTGTTCCTAATTTTCTGACGAGCATCCGTCACTTTTTTAGTCGTCCCGGGAATGGGAATGATAAGATCTTGAAAAGATCGATCGGGTCGACTCTTTAACGTTATTTAATTTCGTTATTTAATTTTGAGAAGGAGTTTGAAATGTAATTTTAGAATTCAATTGTGTTACCAGGAGAGGGGCTCTTCTCTCTTCCTTTTCGTGACTGTCTGAGAGAGTACACTGCTAGCGCAAGTGAAGTTCTTAGGGAATCTCACTTTTAATACTATGAAAGGGAAAAGAAATGAGGCAAACCCATATTTCGCATGCGGTAACAGAGCGATAATCATTATTTTTAAGAAGCATTGACGTCTTCTAAAATCTTCCCCATCCTGTCATTCGGTAATAATAGAAACTAAAAAATAACAAAAAACATAATAAAAAATTCGAAAACTTACTTTGGTTGACGATTACCTCAAAAGTAAACTAGTTATACAGCGGTAAGACTTCGGTTAATAAAAATCTTTTACTTCTTGTTACGAGCTGTCTTAATTTATAACACAACGATACGTGCCAATGGCACAATACCGGGGGCCGAGTTACCCAACACATGTACGATAATTCCTGTATCAGCGCGAAACGGCCACAAATCTCTTGCTTAAAGGTTCTTAAAATCGCGTTCAGCTCTTGACATCAAGGTCGCGGGGAACATCCCCCACGAATAAACTGATAAGGAATAATTGTGCTTGAGGTATATCATTAATAAAGATTATTTTGGTCGTTTTGGCCTAACTTGCCATCGTTTAATTTAATGCATTCTATCTGTCCGTAAAAGTTCGCTTCTTTGTTGAAACAGTGAGCTCTATGATAGTCCTTTTTCTTTATAGAAACGGGAAGTACGTGAATGTTTTGCCAATTGAGAGGAAAGGGCTATTGAATAACTTTCCATGCGAGACAAGAAATGACGTATATATTAACATGAAATATGTGCTTATGAGAAATTCACGGTGAAATTTACTCATGCGGGCTTTAAGAATGTTTAAGCGGTCACAAAGTTCTACGTTCGCGTTTTAGGAATTTATATGGTCTAACAACAACAACAACAAAGATTAAAAGAAACGTTATTCGACGTTTCAATGCATGTAACACCATTATTAAGAATAAAAAAAACGTGAAGAGTCGAAGTTTAGGGGCACCCGACTGTTTTCCGTAAAATATCTGTATCAGAGAAGCAAATATCGCCCAGAATTTTTTGTTACTTGAGGACGTCTAAGGGCCTGTTTACATGGAGTGGGGGACCCCGGTCTGGTGGGGTTGGTTTCTTTTGTTTTCACGCTCTGGGGGACACAAAACAAAAGAAACTTACCCCACTAGACCGGGGTCCCCCACTCCATGTAAACAGGGTCTAAAAGTTTCTAGATGAGCGTTCCATAGGCCTATTCGGCTAACTCAATGTTGTACCTAATGACCCTTTGGGAATAAACCGTTTTGTTTCAGCAATTTCCATATCATTTAAATGTGAATGCCACATTATAATGCAAATACAATACACAAAGAATCTTATCCCCGGGAGATTTGAATTGGGTACAACATTGAGTTAGCGGAAAAGGTCTACTCATGTACAATTTTAGAAGCTTATCTTCTAAATTCCCTACGCTTTTCTGAAGTTTAATTCAGTTTGACATTTCCCACCCCAGGTTAGGCTATTTATCGTAGGAAAAAGAAAACCTAAAATTCTGGGATTAAAAAAAGTGATGCTGAGAGGAATAAAAAAAATATATCACTTTCGTAATGCTTTAAGTTGCATCTAAGATTTTCGGGAATATAATACTGAAGCCCTTGTAATTTCGCTAAGATTATAAAGTTCCCAGCTACGATGACCGAATGGATACGTGCTGAAACTGGCTTTACGGCAAATATCGAAGTACATTATGAGTCTATCCATTTATGTTCCTGTTTCCATCATTGCTTTGCAGTTAACTGTCTCATTCTGTGTTCGTGTCATGTCTTTTCCGACATCTTTCTACCGTACTTTGGCGAGTTCTCCATAAAGCTGATCCTGCCTACCTCTCATTATAAATTAGTACAACTAACATAAATACTGTCTTCCATTCATGCACTCAAGGTAAGAGTTAACTGAAATTATAGTTATGGCTTAATTTTAAGACGTAAATGACATTTATCTGGTTAGAGGCACAAACTATGCTTTACACTTGTTACTTCACAGAATAACCCAGGAAAAACCGTTTTGACCAATCAGAAGCCCGTGGTGGGGAGAGCCGCTCCCATATGAAACGCACGGCCTGCTCGTTGTCTCGTTTGGAGTTTGGTTTCAGTTATGGTTATCGTGCTCGTGACGGAAAGCAAATGCCAAATTTCGTCATGCAGCCCTAGGCTG